CTTGAAGAAAAACCAATACACAACCAGGCAACTCAGAAACCAGCAATGCATTTGAAGGGCATTTTCGGTAAACGTCGGCCACCATGCTTGAAGCAGGAAGGACTGTGCTAGCAACGTCGGCCAATCTGCGGACATGGTACCCAAGCTCTTTTGCATGATGAAGGCTGGGATGAGAGAGAAGGCGTACAATGGGTAGATTGTTGTGCTCCTACGCAGAACATACTGGATCATAGTCTCCTCCTTGGGGTTCTTCAGATACGCAGAGAAAAGGACGAATCCAGACAGCATGAAGAAGCAAGGCACCCACGTGAAGCCCCAGCCGAAAAAATACACGGGATGCGTCGCCCCCTTTGCAAAAAGGTTGCCCAAAGCAACATGGGTCGAGCCCATGAAGCGTGCTAGCCCAAGAGGGTACCTATTTCCAGCTTTACGCGTTCCGACCATCTGCGCCAGCCTGGCTGTATCCGCCGTGGCCGACTCCTTTGCTTCCCTGGCCTCCAACTTCTGGAGGTCTTCTTCTGCATTGGCGTGGCACTCAGGCTTGTTGATGTCCATCGCTGCCTCAGTTGCCTCTGAATTCAACTGCTCGATGTGGGTCTTGGGCTTCATGGCGTATGGTGCTGAGGACATGACGTCTTCTGCGAACTCCCCGTTAGTTGCTCGTAGCTTCGACGCGTCTGCAGAAGGCTTCTCCTGTGGCACTTCCTGACCAACTTCAAACTCGTCGTGAACCTGAATGGTCACAGTCTTGTCAGCCTCGACAGCTCTCGCTTCTGACATGTCCTCTTTTGAGCTTTCAAGGCTCTGACGGGTAGCCTTCTGTCGAGATGTTTCCCAAGCGTACTGGACTCCAACAATGCACAGTGCCGCAATGACACTGACCAGTGGCAAGAGCCACTCGACGTCTTGCAAACACCACAAGCGTGGTCGAAGGCTTCCTCTGTGGCATGCATCTAAGTCCAGGGGTTCGTCCATGAGAATTGGATCCGCCAAAAACTCGGTGATGTTCATTCGATCATCGCAGAGTCCTTCGGTGTTCCCAACCAGGGGAAGATCTGTGACTGTCAAAGTGCATGGAATGCTGTTCATACATTCCCATTTTTTGCATCGTCGGCCATTCAAACAGCTGGAGGAGTAGTCGGGGCAATTCTCAAATCGAGCCTGTGCCAACTGTGCTGGGGCAATGGCTCCGAAAGCAGAATGCACAACTTGATGCGACTTCTATACTATTCTATACAATTCTATACTATTCTATACTATTCTATACAATTCTATACTATTCTATGCTATTCTATACTATTCTATACTATTCTGTACTATTCTGTACTACTCTATACTCTTTTCACAGGCCTCTGTTCCGGAGCAGAGGTTGCCCGCCCAAACTGCGTATGCGCCACGGGCTGCAAGCGCCGCAGGGCACATCGCGTTGAACATAACTGTCCATACCTCGGGGGGTTTTTGTGGGGGGGGCGGGGGGGGCGAATGCTTCATCCATATGTTTAGGGTTTAGCGTTTAAGGTCTGTCTCAGGTAGCCACGAAGCCACGAAGGGACAGGAAAGAAGAACGCCAAGAGTTCACACACGTCGCCCACACTCGTTTTGTTCGTTGGCCACTCATGGGCACCAAATTGATCGCGGGATTGATGGTCGTGTGAAATGTTCCAAACGGGTCAGGGCTGTTTTGTGCAGAATCAACAGCAAGTTTGGCCAGTCCAAAAATGATCGAGAAATCGGCTGGCAAACATAGACACGTACAAGTAGTATGTCACTGGCGGCCAACAGCTGGTTCGGCCACCATCCGTTTCCCCACCCTGCAAAGAAGGGGAGGGAAATAGATTTCATTTCACCACTATGCATCACTCTGAACGGTGACACAGCAACTACAACTGGAACGTGTCGTCAGGATTGCCTCAAGATTGTGAATGGCATAAATGTCGGCTCTGTGGCAATCATGCTGCTCCAGGTCAGAGAGGGAGGAAGACAAGTAAGAAAACGAGAAGCGGATCGGTGCCCATGTGCATGCTTTAAAACATGGTTCGCAACCTCTGGCAACACCCCCCACTTTGCAAAATCTCAGAAAACGAGCCACCTCCGGGTCTGCGATCACGAAACAACTTGGGGTGATGGCCTGGGGCGAAAGCTAGTTCGGGTACCTCGGCGGAAGGGCTGCTCGAAAGATCGAAATCGCGCACCCGAAAATGCAAGTGGCAAACATCCCTCTTCTTCTATCCGTTGCGCGCGATAGGCGCCCCCCCAAAATTGTCTAATCTTTCACAACAGGGTTCCAAAACAGCTTTCACGACCATCGGGACAGTCGCTAGAACCAACGGCATTGACACAAAAAGTGTTCATCATTTGCACCAAAATCCATTTTAAATGAACACCGACCCGTTTCCCAGAAGACGACAGTTTTCTATACCATGGATTTCGCCTGCGTTTGGCTTCGTGGCACAGCCTCCGGGATCCCTTTTTACAGGTTGTAAGCTACCTACCGCTTAGGTAAGAAACTCAGCTCCACGAAGGCTTTCGTGATTTGGATTTGGGTGCCCCTGCCCCCTCTCCACTGCAAACCCAGTCACTGGTTGCGTCTCTTCCCCGTTCCCGTCCCCCTTGTTCCTATTTCTTCCTATTTTTTCTATTTTCTCCAGACAGTTAAAGGTGTTTAGTTTTCGATAGCCTTCGTTTCTCAAACTGAGGACCGAACGAAGATAAATTTCAAGAAGCTTAAGGACGCTCTCTCGACTTTGCTCCCCCATCTCAAACGTTTATGCGATCTACACTCCGTGAAGGCGCTGAGCAAAATCTTGCAGCCAATGTTCCCAAAGATTCAAGATCTGCGAGCCGTGGCCCTCGACCACCTGCAAAGCTGGGCTGCACACTGAGCTTGCGAGCAATGCTCAGAGCAAGTTGCAGCGACCTCAAATGGCATGGAACCACCAAGTCTGAAGACGTCGATTAGGCGGAAGGATGAAGATTGTCGGACGGCCATGGCCTGCTCGATCTGGGCATTCATCACCTTGGAGCGGCTGATGACAGAGGAAACAGCTCGTGCCATGTCAATTTTGCGGCGCTTTCCAGGCCTGGAAATTCTCGTTGTCACGTACCTCGTTAGCCCATGAAATGGTCCTCGGTCCATGTCAGCTGGTGCAAGTGCCAAAAAGACTGCTCGTTGACAATGCCGATATCCTTGTGCAGATGGGTGTCTGCACGTTGCAGCCAAGAGTGGCAGCTCGTCCGCCGCCAGTGCAGAAGCTATCCATCTGCCAGAACACCTCCTCCATCTCATCCTGCGTCAGGCTGCTTCTGTTGCATTTCTCAGGCAGGAGCACAGAGGCAGAGAAACCCCGAAAAAACCCTCGTTTTGAGGCCACGTCCTTGAAGACTTGAATGGCGGGATCTCTGTCCATTGCGAGGAGCTCCTTCCTTGGGCAACTGTCGTTGTTCCTCTCCTCGACACAGGCGCTGTACCAGGCTCCCACTTGCGTCACCACGGCCACCTGCCAACTCAGAGTCTCTGCTGCCAACGCAGTTCCCCCGCTTGCCTCCGCGCCACTCCACAGCGTATCCTCGCCCACTACCTCCAAAGCCAAAGAAGTCCTCACACAACAAGGCAAAAAGCATGCAGAAAAGCGCAGAGACCCGAAGATACCCTGCGGCCTTCTGAAAAAACTGCGGAGCTGTCCACATCACGAATCTCCAGCAAACACTCTCATTCTGGCACGCCAAGTGTCCGATACCAAAAATAAGAAAGTAAGAAGGTAATGCGAACGGACCCAGAACCTCAGGCATCGCCGCATGATTCATCTCAAAGCGCAGTCAGTGACAGCAGGTTTTGCAATCACGGAACCATATGCTGGCGCTCTCACCACGAGATTTTCAATAGCTTTCTTGCACTCTGCTCGATTCTGGTTCGCAACGGCAATGTCCACCTGCCTGTCGCAGAGCCAACTTCAATTCAGATGTGTTCAGGTGTCATGTCCACACCAGCAGTGAAATCATCTTCTCGAAGGCCAACCACTCGAGCGAGATGCTCGGGTAGGGAATTGGCAACGTTGACGCTCGGATCGAAGAGAGGATATGCATATGTTACCACTTTTCAATTGAGAGGTATAAAATATGGTATAATGAAGCCAACGTTACCCCAGCGAGTTCGAACCACGCGACTTGAGAGCAGGGCGGACGAAAGCTAGGTCCCCGCAGATGGGCTGTCTGTGTATCTTGAGGATCCTAGGGTTTGAATTTAAGAGTCCTCGCACATGTGTCTCTACGACTTCCAAGGTAGATATCCTTCCACATGTGTCCCGACGGCTTGGCACGAACAGCAAAAATCATCACAGCTTCTCTCCGGAATCGTGTGACAAATATTCTTGCACATGTGACGCCGCGGTGTGGCGGGAAGAACTTAAAACAATGCACGCTGACAGAGTACGAACGGCAAGCTTGGAAATGCCAGCATCGTATGTCAGCATAAGTTGCAAATCCTCACCTAATCGATCCTAATCGAGAAAACGCCCCCAGCCCCTCCACCCCCCCCCCACCTTAGCCTACATGGTGCAGCCCTTCCCCCCATGACACCTTACATCACGCAAATGTCAGAGATTTATGGCCCCCGAAGTCCTATTTGCCCCAAGACAAGAAGGTTGTAAACAAAAACTTCCGCAACCTCCAAGGGAGCTAGCTTTCGTGACATTCCCTGGAAGTCTGGGGATCTCGACCTATACGGCCATTGCCCCATTTGATTCGTTCCGAGGAAGAAGGGAGCTCCTTGCAGCGGTTCAGTTTTCGTTTGCTTTCACTCACTTCTATTGCCATTAGAGGCTTCTGCGGCTAAGGCTCCCGCAGACGGTTCAGGTGCCCTGTGACTTCTCTTGGTAGCCTTCAGCCGAGTCGAGACGAGTCGATACTCTGTAGCTTTTTATGAAAAAAGTTGGCGAGACCCAAATGTATTCTTGACTCTTCATTTTCACCAGCCCCCGTTGTGCAGCCCCCCTCTCCCCCAAACATATCGAACAAAAAAGAACGAAAAACGAGAGACACTTAAGAAGGAAAGAGAGACCTCTCTGACAGATGAGACCTGTGACATGCTGAGACGCTCTCATGTGGTCCCGCTTTCAGCTCTCGCGTGCTCAATTTTCAGGTCTCGAAACAAAAGGTCGATCTCGGAGCTGAATCATTCGATATCATTCGTAACCTCTTGCAATGATTCGGATTTCGCCAAGTCGGGTTTGTGATGTTCGGTTTCGTCTACCCACAACTCCTGCTGTAACTTCTCCTCCAACCATTTCGGGCCCCGAGGTGTGCTGCTCTTCAAAAGCCATATTTCCACTTCTCAAGTCTTGCTCTTCTGCACGGTTTTCAGCTGATTCGCACGGACACAGCGGATTAAGACGAACCAAAAGTGGGGAGACCCTATGGATTTGTGCGCTGCCGCGGATGGTACCGGCTTTGGTTCGGCACGTGGCCTGCTGCTCAGATGCCCTGAAGGTCTGGGAAGGAAACCCCAAATCGGAAAAGACATTGCAGCCTGGCATCCAATGCTTGAAGCAGGTGTGGGTCGGAAGAAAGGACGCCCAAAGTCATGAAAAGCTACCGCAAAACCACAATAGGAAAAGCCTAACCAATAAGTCCGCAGGTCTATCCGACGGGGTTCGACTCCGGCCCTGCAAGATATCGACTGTGCTACCCCCTTGCCTGCATTCCGGAAGCTCGTTGCTGATCGTTTCCCAATGAGTGACCTAATCGAATCTCAAGGAAGTCGCTGCAAATGCAACAAGGGTGGTCACTGCAAATGTTTTGCTCATCGTCGCGCATGCAAAAAAAACTGCAATCATCAAGGGGCGCTTGCAGCCCGTTCCGATTGGCAAGACGATTTGTCGCTCAACTAAGGCGCAAGAATTCGTGAAGCGCCAGATGTGCCGCGGCGCTGACTTCCAGTTCGGGTGGTCACCATTAAAATCATCATGTAGTGCCTGTAGGCATGCTCCGTCGTCACGCGTACGCCCATGCTGGAGCAATGTCTCGGCCTACGCGAGACGTGGCAGATCCAGGGACCTCATCATTGGGGCCCAGCCATCACCGGTACTCGAGTTGACCCAGCCCGAGGGGCTGTGAGGGGCCTGAAGCCCGTACGAGGACCCATCTCAGGATAAAACCTTGTGCATACGAAGAAAAGCGAACAATGGCTTAACTGGGAATTACACACACCCGCGACCTCCTGCCTTCAACCTCCTGCTTCTTTTTTAGGTCTCCTCCTAATTAGGAGAGAAAAGGAAAAAGACAGAGTGAGGGTGAATGGGCGTGGATTACCATATGCCCTGCCTTCATGCGGCCACACAACCCTAAAGCCACGAAGACAGAACCCAATGATGCCCCGATGATCATCGGGGCATCATTGGGGAAATCTCCTCACATTGCTGTCATGCGGCTTGCCCGTTCTCGATAACAGCATCTACAGCAGCAGAAGTGTCTATCATCTTTCCATCGCGTCGGATGTGGTACTCATCGGGGGCGAGGAGGTTGACAAGGTTCCCAAACTCCAGCAAGGTGTTGGATGAGCCAGTTAACACAATCCTCGCTGACTGATCTCGACTACAGCGTTCAAGAGATAGCAGCATTTCTTTCATTCTGCTTACAGCCTCTGCTGAGACAAATGAAAAACATTTCAAGCAAGGCACCAACTTCCTTGCAAGCACTGTGTTGCTTGTGCCGTCTCATAAAGGTTGTAGCGACATCCTGCGCTGATGCACAGCAGCACACTGTGACATAACCAGATCTGGTAGAAGGATGCAGATGGCCTGCGTCCAGGTTGAGGTTGCCCTGAGATAAGTAGCCTGATAGCAGTGTTGGGTCGGGATCTGCCTATGTTTTGTTTCCAAGCTGCTGTTGCACATAGGAATCGATGCACGGAGGACCCAGGCATGACATGTACTTGAAAATTCTGAACGGTACAGAACGGTACCCATCTCCCTCAAAGGCAAAGCAAATGTCATAGATGCGGAGTCATGGCATTCATGGCCTTCCACCGGAAGCACCGGAACTCTTGCATCGCAAATCGGCATTTTTGACTTCGGGGAGAAGACCACCTGCAACTGCACGCGAGCTCAAGTCAATCTTGGTTTGTAAGCATCTGACCAAGGAATCCGCCTCCATCCGTGCAACGGCCACAGCATATCCTTCCGTTGTTCTTTTGATGTCTTCAGCCAAGGCTGGCCCTCCCTTGATGCCAACCAGCGCATAGGCACCTCTGTGCGACAGACCTCCGGTATGGTCTGGAAAATCAAACAGAACTCTCAGGATTGGAGGCTACGGGTGCGACTCCTGCTACGTGTTTTCTGAGGATTCCGCCGTCGATCATGGTTGCACCGCAGGTTTTGATCGCTGCTTTCGCCGTGTCTGTAAGATTTTTGGATGCCTCCGTACCAGGCAGCAAGTCTCTCTCGATCATCCATCTCTCTCTTCCTGCTCTTCCAGCTGCCTCGTCACGCGCGCCGATCAGCACCACTGTCCCATGCTCGATGTCATGGATGTAAGCGGCCAGCGCGTCCGAACCGGATGTCATGGTGTCGAAGGTCGCCTTATAAGCCATGCGGTGTGCGCCATGCTCTGGCCGTGCTGCTCCCTTCTGTTCTATCTGCGAAAGAGCCCAATAGAATGGTTTCCTTCTCTTTTTTTGGACAGGATTCCGAGTCTATGCGAGTTCCATCCGGCCGCACGGTGACCACTGTCAGACCGCGACGTGACCTCAACAGCAAACGATATGCGGCATACACACACCCAGCTTCATGAGCATGGCGCGACATTTGGCATTTATGCGTATTTTATCTAGAAAGCGTATTCATGGGTCGAATACCAAAACTTTATTTTCGTCCTTTTCGGATGTGCAAACCTTTCCCAAATTGACCCAGCTGGACTACAGTCTCAACTCTTCCGGACCTGATGTGAGCTCACCGAGGGCAAGAACATGCTTTGGTGGCTTGCAGATGGCCCTGAACTGGCAAGGGGCCCCGAGTAGAAGTTCACACCGTTTGCGAAGAAGAGAACTTCACGCCCATCTGCCCATCCAGCACTTCGCCTGTAACTGTGCTCATGGGACACTTTAAATCGGTATCCGAAGTCAGAATATGAACGTCAAGGAGCACACCAATGTCTGCCGCATCTTCTGCGGCTGCGGCGCAGCAGTCACTTTCATCGGCACTCCTCACGCTCCTGAGAAAGCAGCGATGCGGCGCGACAAGTGCCGACACACAACGCATGCAATCCGAGCTAAACATTCAGGCAAGGAATCCACATAATGTCACGCTTCAGCAACATACCCAAGGGGCAGGTCAGCATGGCACCTGATGGGTCGAAGCGGGTACCCTACACTGTAGACGTGTTTTCGACCAAAACATGACTACCCGGGTTTTGCACAAGGGCAGATCGACTTAACCCAAGGAGCGTACACTGCTTCATCCCCCCCCCCACGGTTGCATGAACAAAGGAAGAAAAGTTTTGTTTTCAAGTGGCTGAAACCATCTGGGACCTCGTGCGAGTCTGGCTTGTGAACGGATCAAGCTGGGTTGATATCGTTGCAAGCATGCGTGTTTCTTGCTTCGAGTCTACGGCGCACATCGGGCATGCCAGAGCATTTTCAGATCTGGGACGACTCATGCCACTGCCCAGAGTTTCCAAAAAAGTGGGCGTGCAAAGTTCATGGTCCGCACTTATATTCTGAGAATGGCTGCTGCTGATTTCTGGATTTCTGGATGACTTATTCCATGCCCGTGGTCACGATAGCAGACTGCCCTGTTCGAGCTCGCACCATATGGGAATCGTGCGGAACTGGACCACTCTCGCCCATGTGACTGGCCTGGCGAGTCATTCCTGCATCTTACTAGTAGAGTCTTAATGAATACTGGAATGCTCGGGATTGGATATATGAAACTCTTGTGGAAATGGCCAGGCTTGGCATGCACTGGCACTGCCAGCTCAAAACCGGCGGTTTCGAACAAAGGAGCCAGACATGGATGTGGCCAAAGCAGCTGAGTTGCACCAGCTGGCCGTGCTGGTCGTCGTAGTGGTGGTGGACGTGGTGACCACCTACGTGCGTATGGGCATGAGCAAACACGCAGCCACTGAGCATGACTTGCTGGCTAATCGCTGCCAATGGTGCGTACTATAGATATCACTTGTCACTTTGGGATTGCAGGTCTTGTGGTCGTGCTTTATGTCCACTTGGCTCACATGGTTCAGTGTTTCAAAAGGTTTCTGAATGCATTAAATCGTTCGGAGGTCGAGACAGTGTGTTCCGTGCGTTCGGCGGAACGCCCAGACACGCCCACTGCCATTAGTTGGGTTTCGTGGCCACCACATCATCTCACACGGATCGTGGCTGGCCCTCTCGAAAGCCCGCGTGAGGAGCTCTCAGATAAGAAGCAAGTGATACAGAAGCAAGTGTTGATTAGAGTGTCGTGTCTTCCTTGCTTCATATTACGTATAGCTTCTCGTATTCTTTCCTCTCCTTCTTTTTGCTTCCGTCCTTCCTTCCCTATGAGAAATGGCAAGGGACCTCAATTTTTGTAGCTTAGATTTCTGTAAGCCTTGCTCTTTTCCAGAGCACTAGGAGTGGGGGAGGGAGCTCCTGGACAGCATTTGTTCGGGTGTCGGGTTCGGATGTTTGGGTGTTTGGGCCAACAGAGTGCAGCCGAAGTGTCGTGCTCTGCTTCTCTTGCTTGGTGACTTCATGAGCAGTGGCATACTTAGGCGTGGTCGTTTTGATTCTCTGGACGCAACCTTCTGGTCTGAACCCCTACACGACATCCCAAAACAGTGTGGCAACACCTTCCACTTGTCGCTGTGTAAGCATTCAGAAGAACAGGCAATGTGCCTGTTCCCACGAACTTGTGCTTGGCAGTCAATCACTGGAAGTGAGCAACATCGATTCAAGCACTCGCTAGCCTCAACTTAAGGCTGTGCGAGCTGTCTTAACCCAAAAATCAAACACCTAATGGAGCATCAAACAATTGTCGGTACTGACAGTACCACCATATGCATAATATTGCACAATTCAAGCTCGGAAGACACTCATGGCCGGTGTGATGCCTCCGTCTGTCCAAGAAAGCCAAAAGCCACGGCATATCCTTCGGTTGTTCTCTTCATGTCTTCGGCCAAGGCCGGCCCGCCCTTGATGCCAACCAGCGCATAAGCGCCTCTCCACGAAAGACCTCTGGGGAATCAACAGAACCCTCAGGATTGGAGGCAAGTTGCTGGCTACATGCTGAGGGTGCTGCCGTCGATCATGGTTGCACCGCAGGTTTTGATCGCTGCTTTCGCCGTGTCTGTAAGATTGGCGGAGGCCTCTCCATATCAGGCAATCACATTCGCTCACACATTCTCAGACTCCATCGGTCGTGAGATAACGAAGATGCCCGCTGCCTCGTCACGCGCACCGATCAGAACCATGGTTCCATTCTCAATGCCGATGATGTACGCGGCCAGCGCGTCAGACCCGGATTTCATGGTATCGAAGGTTGCCTAGTCCATGCTATCTGCAATGAGTCTGCATAGGTCCATATCCACGCTGCTACCAGAGGGCTCTCTTTATGAAGACAAGCTGCTGAATCTGTGAGGGTTCCATTCGGCCGCACGGTGACCACAGTCAGGCCGCGACTTGGCCTCAACAGCGACTGATGGCTGGCAACGATTCGCTTCAACATATCGCCTAGAGTCGCGGCTTAGGACAGGATGGCACATGGAAGCCCAACGGCGTATCTTCGAATCTTCATGACTCATCGCGTCGCAAACGCTCACAGGCATACAGGCTACAGTGGCTTGCTCAACATGGGCAAACTTGCATGTCGAAGTGACCCAGAATGGAAGTCCACGCCGTTCGCCAAGAAAACGGCTTCACTGCCATCTGCCCATCCAGCACTTCGCCTAAGCAATGAAGGTTGCGTGATGTTCTGTGTTCGTCATGCAACCTACAATGACCTATCAGGAACAAGGCCGCATATGCGCCAGAAGGACGTCTCACCGCGTCATGTCACACACCAACGATTGCCACACCTTCCGCAGCCGCGGCGGTTGTGCAGCAGTCATTCTCATCCATGCTTCTCACGCTCCTGAGAGTTCACCCGACGTGCACGGCAGGAATGTTTGGGAGCCACTCGACTCTTGCAGACAGGAGACCACATACTGTCACGCTTCAGCATCGAGCCCACAGGGCAGTTCAGCATGGCACCTGGGCCAAGCTGTGGTATTGAAAGAAACGGCCGCTCCTGAGACGACCCGCTTCTCCTTTCCTGCATGCTCCCGGGAGCCGATGGTGTCTTTCGAGCGTGTCTAGATACCAAAAACTTCGAACGTAGTCGCAACCAGATGATTGCAAGAATCTGCCATTATGTTTCTCGGGGATCTGACCTCACGCGCACGCGAAATCGTTACCACAGATACGAGGGTGACAAGGCCTTTGTCTTGTGAGCGCCTGTCTCAAGGTCAGAATCCCTCAAGTCCGGCGCATTCCGGCGCGGACCTCGAGTCGCCCCGATTCCAAAGTTCACAAGCTCCGCCCAAAAAATGTGCTCCACGCGCCATCAAAGGCGTTTTGGTCAAGGGCCCCGTGGGCTGCGTAGGTTTCCAAGTGCCGATTGTCAGTATCACCCATTGAAAAGGAATTTCTTGGGAAGCTTTTGCCCGAATATCAAGAATTTGGGCGACGATGCTTTTCCACATTCGGTTCTGGAAAGTGGGCCTGGCCCTTGCACCTGACCCGACATGCGTTGAGAACGCACGAGCCAGACTTTCTGAAATCTGAGAACACATAAGACAGCTGAGTTGCAGAAGGGATTGGTTGTCGTAGTGGTCTCTGAGGGGTCCTGCACAT